ACTTCTTCTATTCAGTTACCTGGGCCTCGCATATTCTCGACCATTCAGAATCTTAAAAAGAAGTAAGGTATTAAAAGCGCAGAGGAATGCATCCCTAAGCTGATTTCTTCACTTTTTTACGAGAATAACCATCAAAATCAATTACGACTCTTTGGGGGTGCACTTCTCTCTGTCTGCCTGCGAGTGTCTCTTTAGGGCCCGCGACGGGCATTCCCTGAGTTAACTATTACATGCAACACTACACGAAAAGACTTAAAAAAGCACTTCAACAGTTTCGACTTCCGAACCCTTTTGTTACCTTGGCCAGGTAACATTCTTGTTCACCCTAGTAAATGACCCTCCAGTAAGTGATACCACTAGTTTGTGCAGAGGCCCCGAATAAGTAAGTTTTTAAGTGGCTGCGCTATCTGCATAAGCCAGAACAACGGACGGCAAGTTGTGCGTAAAAAGACAAAACTCACCGGCGCATTGCTAAATTAGCCTGTTGGTCTTGTGATTTCCGCAGGAGTTCTTTCAGAGCGTGTACCTCTGCACGAAGAACCTTTGAACAGGGAAAACAAGAAACCTGCATTGATGTCTCGGTACAACATCAGCGGACAACCACTCGTATTTTTGAAAGGAAACGCCAACGTGGTTTTACAAAGCAGTCAGGAGATAAAAAAATATATAACTTAATGTACAGGATGAAGTAAGTACTACTTCTTCCTCAATAATTAATTCCTAGAGCATTAATTGGGCCGCGAAGTCGTCTTCGTAGCATCAAGTCTTGACTTTGACAAAAAGACTAATTGGGCATAAAAAGTTGAAATAAAGTGCGACACACCGCAAATACTCCACGAAGGTTCGATCCAAAGTTCATGCAAAAAACCGATAATTACAGCTCAAGATGGAGAAATTACTGTGCCCTGTACGTACACCATAATCGGGAGGAAGGGGACTCCCATTTAGCACCTTTATCAGTCCTGATTTTTTTGCCCCCCGTGTTTTGTGCAACACGTCGTTAAAAATTATCCTTGCCATAAGCATTGGTGCCTTTTGCGAAGGGTAAGTGTGTAAAGAAGGTTGAAAAAAGCGTCAAAATTTCCTGCAGGACCATACAGTAGAACTCCAGGGCAAAAGGAGATAGGCATATGACGTGCATATCAGTACGCCAGCCCCTCCAGCTACTTAATACTCTCGATCGTAGCCAACAACGCAACGACACCGTGGATTGGTAATAGGGTTGGATTGAAGCTCAGGGAAAAAATCAGGTAGGCTTCTAATTCCAAATCCTCTTAACGTGGGGTTGGAGCACGGATGACAAACCACGCCTAATACTCCTCAAAAGCCATCCGAATAACTCTGGACTTTGTCGGCATTTCTACAACGTAGTCTAGGATTCAGGGTAGTGTGGTAACGAAATCAAACTGGCCAAACGTGCCCTACGTTTCAGGCTGGCAAGGCTAGGACTTCCAGGGTGCTTATTTAACAGGAAGGAATGACTCATCGTAAGAGATTTATGGTTTTACCCTCCCATTTTTGAAGCGCTTTCTGCACAAAATCAGATACAAAAATTTATATAACTTGTCGAAGTAGTTTGCCGCGGACTGGTTTGTTTTACTTGTCCTTTTGGCGGACGGGGGATATGCCTGCGTTAGTAATTAGCATTTCAACAGAAGGTAGTTGGGCCTCTAAAGAGGGCGGTAACTCATGTGCAAGACCGCATTTTTCCAGACTGCTTTAACTTCTAGGTGACTCCAAAATGTGCCACTTAAAGAATGCCGTGAACTCAACTCTGGCAAAGGAAACTTAGGCGTGACGGCAGAAACATAGTCCAGCGCTACTTCACGGCTGCCACCAAAGACCGCAAGGGTAGCATGCGGAGGTTGACTAACCCAAATTGGCCGTTATTGGAAAATTAATTCAGCATATTTAGGAGGCCATTGTCATGTTCGAAAAAGGAGCCAAAACGATAAATAATTATCAAAAATTGGGGCCACCCGATTCGGAGAAAAATGTCTGGCGTCTGTCGTTCCTCTAAATCCTCCCACAAGTTCACAGTTTGTAATCCTTGCGCATGAATTGGCCTTCGACAAAATAAACACCGTACCCGAAGTTAATGGCTGTTTATGAATCCGATTTTAAAGAACGAAGAAACTGATTCGTCCCGAAACTTCCTCGTTGCTCAGGAGGTACATTTTGTGGTCCGGCCTGGTAGGTAGACTTTGCACGAAGCGTATGCTTGGTCAAGTGTTGTCCCAAGCCCCTAAAGAAGAGTGTGTTAATGCTTTCTTCTGCCGCCGACGTCCCTTGTTTATTGGTAACTTATGGTGTAATACAAGGGGAATTTCCAAAGATGAAGTGATTTGCTTATCGTATTCTCGATGCTGTTGTCCAGCTCTCTACTGCACCTTGATCGTCAGGAAGGCTTTGAATCCAACCCATTCCCTTTTAACGGGCCGCTTTGTAGATGCGCTGGACCAACATCAGGATCAGATCAGGGCATGACGGACGTTATTT